TGTGTATGGATGGATGGGTGGATGGATGGGTGTGTGTGTGTGTGTGTATGGATGGATGGATGGGTGGATGGATAAATGGATGGATGGATGTGTGTGTGGATGGATGGGTGGATGGGTGGGTGGGTGGGTGGATAAATGGATGGATGGATGTGTGTGTGTGGATGGATGGGTGGATGGGTGGGTGGGTGGGTGGGTGAGAGATTGAGAACAGGCTATCCTGTCAGACTGGGTGAGGACAATGATGACAACCCCAAGGCTTTCAGAGCTGGGGACTTGTGTAAGTGTTGCCATTAGCAGGGAAGGAATAAGCAGCAATAATGCAGCTCTGAGGGGAAGTGGGGGCAGAATGTCAAATTCTAGATGTCCACATTTCCAACTGGAAATTCAAGTCTGGAGATACACATTTGAGAGTTGCACTTAAGATGATGCAACTAGATAAATGAAGTTTAGCGAAGAGACCCAAGAACTGAGCCCCTGGGACAGTTTCAGAGGCTGGAGAAAGGGGAAGGCCTGCTGGGAGAGACAGGGAAGTGTGGGCATGTGTAGGGAAGCCTGGAGACTGGGGGTCTCCAGAACACAGAGGGCACCTTGCTCAGTGCTCTAAAATGCTCCACCACAAGGACAAAATGGAGTTCAAAGGATTTGGTTTTGGTTCCTGAGAAAGTGAAACATAGCATTAAAATAAATCCAATAGTTCCATTCCATTTCTAGGCTTATTTCTCCCAGAATGGAAGAAGAGTTCACACCGATGTGTGCATGAGAGTATTTGCAGCAGCATCGTTCTCACTAACCAGAAGGTGGAAACCCCAAATCTTCATCCAGAATCGAGTACAATATAAGATGGGATGGGGGCAGGGGGATTTCTAGACCTGATGTTGTATACTCATAATTCTAACGTTTAGGGGACTGAGGCAGGAGGACTGCCAGGAGTTTGAGTCCAGCCTGGGTTACAAAAATGAGACCCTGTTTCAAAATACAAACAGAAAAAAAATATAATAGCACAACATTTATGATTCTGAAAAACATACCAAGTGAGAGAAACCAGACATAAAAGGACAAATATTATGTGTTGGCATGTGAGGTGCCTAAAATAAGCCCATAGAGATAGAGTTAAGTAAAACAGGCTACTGGAAGCTGGGGCAAGATGGGAGAGAGAATAATTGTTCAGTCTGTATAGAATTGCTGTTGAGTTCATAAAAAAAAAGTTCTAGGAATAGACAATGTAACATTCATTGTATACTAATGTACAAGAAATTTCTGCTACTGAATTATATACTGACAAAAAGTTTGAAATAGTACATGCAATTTCCATAGTTTTTTTTGGAAGTGTAGGTTTGGACTGAGGGTATAGAACAGGAGAGCACTTGAATAACATGCTCCAAGGACCTGGGTTCAATCCCCAGTGCATATTTAGAAAGCATAAGGAAGCTGCCAGGGATGGTGGTGCATGCCTTTAATCCCAGCACTCGGGAGGCAGAAGTAAATAAGAAAAAAAAAAACACAAAAAAACATCATTTCTGTTCCAGGTCGGTTTTAGGCATCATCTGTGACTTGAATCCCCTTGTAGATTCTTTAATACATGTTTTTTGCACTCCTTTATAGTTTATATTGTAGTCGTCACAATTAAAGAGAATAATGTCCCTGTGTACAGGCCATTATCATTGGAAGACCAGGAGAGAGCCAGTTATTACAAAGTGAGCCAACTAAAGTGTTAGAAGGCCTCGAACTTGAGGTATTCTTGTCTCTGCTTCCTCAGGGTTATATTACAGTGTTGTTATGCTCACAAGAGCATATCGTTTAAATACTATATTTTAAAATAATGTGTGTGTACACTAAGGAAAACTATTCTCTCAAATACTGTTTTTTGAAAATAATGTCTCGAGTGCACTTCAGTAATTTTCTTGCTAAAGCAGCATTTCTCCCAGAGCCACGGAGCCGATAGGGAGAACGCCTTGAGGGCTGGGAGGCTTTGTGGCGCAGCGTATTTAACAACCGTGACAACTCAAGAATTGTAAGCAGCCTCGCCTCCTTGTCTGGGATCCGTCGGCAGCATTGTGTCTACTGGCAAACCCTTCAACATTCTGCTTCAGCCAAAGCCGTGCGGATGATGGTCTTGGAAATGTTTACAGAATGTTTTCAGGTCTTGGTAGTATCTGTATTTAAAACAGCTTTCCTTTCAAAAGCCACCATTCTTAAAAAAAAAAAAGTAGCAAATTTGAAATAAAATAACATGAGTCTAAAATTGCTTCTCAGCCTTGATGAAACAAAGGCTGGGGTGTCGCCGTGGCCCGGGAGCGAGCTCCCACTGCTTTGTAGGATTTCAGAGGTGAATTTCGATGGCTGGAAGATAGATGGATGCCAGATGCAGTTTGACATAGATTCAGGCAGCTGCTCCGAGGCTAGGTTTCATTAGCTGGTAAGTGCGCCAGCAGATGCAGCAGTGTGGGGCCCCACATGCCAAAAGGACAGCGAGAGCAGCGGAGCAATACAATATTCACTAAGTGATTTTAATCTCGGAGATTGAGTGTCGCCCAATCAGTTTCCAGGTTATAGAAAACAATGCATTTGAAGCCATTCGAGGGCCCAGGTCTTTGTCCACTTG